AGAACCAAACTTTAAACCACTTAAAAATAACACGATCAATAAACTCTTTAGAAGCTCAACTTATATTTATTTTATTTGGAAACAAAAATTATACTAGTGCTATAAATATGATACATAAATTTCAAAATTATACTGATATTTGTTAAAAACACGTTCTGCTTATAACATCTTGAATCCAAAAATACTATTTTTCTTCTATGATTTAGTAAGAAATAGTAAAAATACATTAGGTTTCATGGTACATAAAAATAAAATATTTTAATGGAAGTAAAAAAAAACAAAGCCGAAAAGCGATAATCTTCGTTTGATTACAATTTTTATTTTATCAAAAGCCAGTTACTACAATGCTTTAGGTAGCGCAAACGTTTTTATATAAAGGGGAAAATCCAATCTAATTGTGTAGTAGTAAGTATATTTAAATCCCTTTAAGGAAATCAATCGTAAACAAAGGTTCCCTCATTAAAAAAAAAATAACCATAAAAAGAATGTTTTAAAGAAAAAAAATTAAGTTTAAATAAGTGTAAGATTTTCAAATAAAGAAATTTTTTTAAATCGACATTTAAATTTAATTTATAACTTTTTTTAAAACAATATTGTTTAGTTTTAAAATATTTCATTTAAAAGACTTATAAGGTGTTTTTGAATTTAATTACAATGAGGTATTTTAAAATACCCAACTGACGCAATTAAACTTTTAACAATGTAAATATCTTTATTTAACAAAGTTACATTTATTCACGTTGCGCTTTTCCGTTATGCAACAAAATCTTATAACAAGGCCTGAAACCTGTAAAAAATATTTTAAAACTGTGTTTTCCTTTGTAAAAGTAAAAAATAAAAAACGGAAATAAAAAAATAAAAATTTTAAAGGGATCTCTAACTGCCAAGACAAATTGTGTTCATATTAAAGAAAATGTTTAAAAAAAACATTTGGGCTGAATTTTTTTGATCGAAACTAAATAATGAACGCATATCAACAAAATAAAATTATCGTTTTAGTCGAAGCTTGCCTTCATTATTATTTTTTTTTTGGTTCTTGAGGTCTGTATATTAGCCACAATCTGCAGACTTGATAATTTATTCAAAGCGTGTTAATTCATAACAGTTTTGGTATATGATGTCATCACAATATCTTTTTAAGATAACGTTTTTTTGTTGTTGTTTTTATAAAGATATAAGTATTTTTTCTACTACAATCAGAAAATCAAATATTTGTATGATTTTTTACTAAATCACAAAAAATATTTGATTTAATAAAAAATTATACAAATATATATATCAGGGCTCGAATTAAGTGATTGTGAATTGCAATATCTGGAAATGCTTCCGGTCTTTAAAATTTTACCTTTTTAAAAACCGTAAAACTGTTTGATCACTAAACTCAATAGATATCATTTAATAAAAAATATTTACATGGATTATGATATAAAATCTCAATGTAAAACCATATTATCAACTTTATTTTTATTATTATTAAAGATTATAATTTAAACTTTATTATTTTAATTTATTTGATAAAACATCAGATAAAACTAGAAAAATAAAGCACGATAAAGTATTATAAATATTAAAAAACAAGCACTAATCACAACAATCTAAAGAACTTTAACAATGATCGAATATTTTAAATAAAAAAAATTGTTAATTAAGATATAAAATACTTTTAAATGTTATTTAAATCTCATTCAATATTTTCTTATAAATTTAACGCTTGTAACACTTTAGCTGATACGAATATAAAATGAATTAAGACGGAGGAGTTAATATATAAAAATTAATTTAAACTTTTTAATAGTTACTTTAAAACAAAAAAAAAAGAAACTCTAATAACATATTTTTAAAAAAAATATTCTTTATAATTTTTTTTCTTATTAAATAAATTCTAATTTAAAACATTTAAATTTTTAAATAAATAATTCCATATACTTTCCCTGTGAATAAAAATCTATTTTAATGTTTATATAATGCGCAAGTAGCTTTAGCATACTTTTTAATTGGTTGTTTTTTTCTACAAAGTTTTATACAATGCGCAAATAGCTTAATCATAGTTTTTAATTGGTTGATTTTTAAATTATCGCGAAAGTTTTTTGGACCTTTAGTAATAATAATTTTTGTCTTGCAACTTTTTTTTATTTATAATCCTTAAATTACATATTATTAAATATTGTTTAAAAAAACAATAACTATATACAATTATTACTACTGCAAAAATAATAACAGTCAAAATTTACATATTATAGTTATTACATATTTTGCTATTATTAGAGTTCGCAGGCAGAGAAAAAATAAAGGCAGTATGGCGCGGCTTCTCATTTTATATTTAGTTCATATGGTTTATTAGAGTTGTTTGTTTTATGTTTAATTTACATTTAATTATGGTTTAACTCTTTCACTACCGCAAACCTCTGGAAGCGGCTTTCTAGTATGCTTTGCAATTTATCTTGTTTTGTACATAAATTTCCATTCTAGACACATAGAATTTGTTTGTTCTAAAGGTTTAATTAATTCTCTACACAATCAAGAAAAAAAAAGAGCTATATTATGTAATTATAAAAAAGTTATAACAAAGTTAAAAAATTCAGACTTAATGTTTTAGTTACTACTTATAAAAACAATGGTTTTAAGCACTTTGCATTTCTTATTGTTTAATGATGCGTGTTACAAACTTTATTATTATCGAATTTTAATTAATTACCAATGTTGTACTATTCAAATGCTATTCAAAAAAATGTGCAGTTGCTACAAAAAGATTTTTGTTAGGCTGGTAGCGAACAAGTTAATGCGATTCTTTGTTTTTTATATTTATATTATAACTATTTTTGTATATTTTAGTACAAATATTTGTTTTAACTTTAATTTAGTCTGATTTGAACGGTTATTAGTAAAATAATTTGTTTAATATTTATTTTCTACTTTTAATTATGAATTTTATAGATTTAATTTTTAATTGCACCATAAACTTTTTTTTGGGATTTAGTAAAAAGTTATATAATTAACATGATTTGGTGATGGTGGCAAAAAATAATACAACATCTTGAAAAAAAAAATTTATAGGATTACGTTATATACTGAAACTGTTATGAATTAAACACGCATAGAATAAATTATCAAGATTGCGGCTAACATTATACAGACTCCAAGAACCAAAAAAAAATGGAGATGACGAACTTTGACTAAAACAGGAATTTTAAATTTAATGGTGTGCATTCATTATATAGTTTTAATCAAAAAAATTTAGCTTAAATGTTTTTTTTAAACATTTTCTTTAATATGAACACAACTTGTCTCAGCAGTTGAGGATCCCTTTAAAGAATGATAAAATGAAGAAAGAGTAAACTAGACAAAAAAAAGCATAAAACTAATGTGTTTTTATATTAATTTAAAAGTGTTTTACTACAAGGAAAATTACAAATAAAACAAAAAAAATTTATCTGCTTTACTAGGATTTAAATCCTCGACAAATCCCAATATAACAGTCCCTTATAATCGACAAATCCCAATATGTTAAGCGCTGCATAAACATTGCAATATACAAAAAATTATTAGCTTTAAACTACTATAACACTTTTAAATTAAATTCAGTTTAAACTATTAATTGAGTTGCTTCTAAATTAAAAAATACATTAGTTTTATACCTTTATTTTCTCTGGTGTATCCTTTATTTATTTTATCATTTGTTAAATTCATTAATCTTTTCAGTTTATGGTTTCTCTATTTTTAATTTTTGCTTTAAAACAGTCATGTTTTTACAAAAAAATTTTCAAAACATGTAAATTATCAATATATGCAAAAAAACCATGGCCAAGTTAAAAAAATATTTTTTGCATGGTTGTGTAAGACGTGCAACCACACATGTCTCCTAAATGGTTAGATATATATTTATCTTTATACTATACCTTCATATATGATATCATCACACAAAATTAATATATATTTATATTATATCATTGTATTATGCTCCAGAACAACATAAATCAAATCACATGACTACAACCTGGCGCCTACATCTTGACTACAAAAAGTGGGACATGTATGTTAAAATAATATCATCAAAAGCTAACTCTGTACTCAGTCAACTAAGGAAAGCTTTTATCTATAAAAATGCACAAGTCTGGAAGAGGTTTTACACATCGCTGATCAGACCTTATCTCAAATATCCTGCTTTGGTATGGAATTCTTTTTCTGCACACAACATTGAAAAACTTAAAAATGTTCAAAATGACGGCAATAAAGAAACTCCGCTTCTTAGGCGTTATCCAGGGAAGTCATCTTTATTTCACTAAATGAAAAACGCAATCGAGGCAATTTAATCTACAACTTTAAGTTGTAGATTAAATCAATAATAATTTTAAAAATATTTGTTGGCTTAACCTGCAAATTGGCCATTCATATGATCAAATAACTCAAGGACACTCTCAGAGTCTCATCAAAGAGTTCTCTAATGCATCTGATCTCAATAATAAAATGTAAGCCATCTCTACTTAATTTCTTCCCTAACAGAGTCATCAGCCAATTTACTCTTACAAACTGTGATTGACCTCCTCATTTTAATGCCTTTAAAACACTTTGATTAGCACTAGCATCACAATTCTCCACTGAAATACTGTATAGTTCAGTGTCTACTGATAAGGAGCTAAAGGGAAGATACACCTTTCAAGCAAGAGAGAGAAAACAAACAAACATATTAACTTTGTGCTAAATTTAGAATTTTATTTAGTTTAGTCCTTATGTTAATATTTTTTGCCTCAGCTTATCATGATTGTTATTATTAACATTATTATTATTATTATTGCTATTATTATTATTACTATTAATATTATCATCACCACATATGATGATGATGATGATGATGATGATGATGATGATGATGATGATGATGATGATGATGATGATGATGATGATGATGATGATGATGATGATGATGATGATGATGATAATCCATATTGACAGCTGAAACATTCAAATGAATTTGTAAAAAAGTATATAAATTCAATACTTACCAAAATAGAATTACAAGACTTTTAAATAATCTTTGACAACAGTGCATAGTATTCATTTTTTATTTCACTTTTTTTGAAGATAAATATTTTGATTATTAAGATATATATATATATATATATATATATATATATATATATATATATATATATATATATATATATATATATATGTATGTATGTATCTGTGTATGTATGTGTTTATATATATATATATATAAATATATATATTTTTTGATTATTAAGATATATATATATATATATATATATATATATATATATATATATATATATATATATATATATATATATAAATATCTATATTTTTTGATTATTAAGATATATATATATATATATATATATATGTGTGTGTATATATATATATATATGTATGTATGTATGTGTATATATATATATATATTTATATATATATATGTATATATATATATATATATATATATATATTTATTTATATATACATTTATAATTTATTTATTTATAATTTCATCAATGATATAATATATGACCATATTTTGACCAATTTTGCACTTATTATAAATGGCTACAGATATATATGTGTGTGTGTTTGCATGTATGCGTGAATATATATATATATATATATATATATATATATATATATATATATATATATATATATATATATATATATATATATATATATATATATATGTATATATATATATATATATATATATATATATATATATATATATATATATATATATATATATGTATATATATATGTATATATATATATATATATATATATATATATATATACATATATATATATATATATACATATATATATATATATATATATATATATATATATATATATATATATATATATATATATATATATGTATATATATATATATATATATATATATATATATATGTATATATATATATATATGCTTATCAAACTTGACGTTCAGACAGTTGTCTGTGATATTTGATTTTATACACACTTAAGTGCACATACACTCACACATATAACTTTATACATGTGCCAAACAATATTGTTGATAACAAAATTTTATTTATGAGAAATATATATATATATATATATATATATATATATATATATATATATATATATATATATATATATATATATATATACATATATATATATATATACATATATATATATATATATATATATATATATATATATATATATTTATATATATATATATATATATATATACATATATATATACATATATATATATATATATATATATATATATATATATATATATATATATATATATATATATATATATATATATATATATATACATATATATATATATATATATATATTATATATATATATATATATATATATATATATATATATATATATATATATATATATATATATATATATATATATATATATATATATATATATATAACTATGATTTTTTTGATAATTCAATTTTATTTTATTTTAAATTTGATTAGGATTTTATCTTAATCAAATATTAAGATTTTATCTTAATTTCATTTGAAATACATATATATAGATACTGTTTGACCGTTCCTTAAGTCAAAGTGTTTGCATCATCAGTTATAACCTTAACAATAACAGTTGTCTAATGTTGAGTTTGACAAGCAGAATCTATGAAAAAAATGTATGCTATACATATAAAAAATGAATAGTATACATTTTTTTTCAACAAATAAAAAAGATAATAAAAAAAGATAATGAAATAACGAATTTTCAAAAAATTCGTTATTTCATGATCTTCATTCATTTCATTTTTTCTAATATAAATTAAAAAATATATATTTAAAGTATCAAAAAAAAAGTAAAAAAAACTTTTTTATTCAAGAAAAAAAATGTTTGCTTTTTTTTTTCTTTGTAGATAAAAAAAATCTTAAAACAACGTCAAATCAATGATAAAATTTTTCTAATTATCTAATTAAAGTTTTTATTTAGATAAAATGCCAACTTCTTTATTTAAAAAAAATTCAAACTTTGATCAAATAAAAAAAGTTCTATATTTTACGAATAAAAATTACAATGTCAAGAGTTGTTAAAATAGTTGCTTGGAATGCAGACAATTTTTCCCTTTAATTTCGACTCGGCTGTTTTTCGAATCGATAACTATAGCAGATACATAGCAGCAAATTTTTATTAAGTTGTAATTGGTCCGGTAAACCATTAAGCAAAAAAGGGTTTCACAGGCATTATCCGAAAACACCACGGCTTTTTTAAACAATGCCCGTTAAAAAAAACTGTTTATTAAAAACTTCATAGAAATTAAAGTAAAAACACAGACAACAGCGGCGTATCTTTTCGTAATATTTCAACCTGTCTAGCATAGATCGACAAAAGACGTAAAATATATAATCCAAATTTATTATATCATAGTCTTAAGGAAAAAAGTTTATATTTCTTACGACGACGATTACATCAAACTTAATGCTGCTCGTGCGTGCGTTATTTTTAAAGGAGCCTTTGATACAAATGCAAATGGCATTTGTATCTGGGGAGAATTTTAATAAAAGGCTTTTATCTTTTTAATAGAAGAGCTTTGTTATGTTTTCACCTAAAAGAATTTAATTGAATTTAAAGTAATTTTTTATGTGGTATTTCTGACGTAACTTTTTTCAGTTGCTCGATACTGTAGAGTCTTAAAGCTTGGTTTCCAATAGTTGTAGAAATGTCGTACAACAGTTGTACAACAATAATGAAACATTTTCTTGTGTAAGTTGCACAACTTACGCAAGAAAATGTTTCCATACGTCGGTTGTACAACAAAATTTATGTTGTATAACAAAGGTTGCGGAGATAGAATTAAACCTATTTCGGCAACAATTGTTGTACAACAAAAACGCACAACTGTTGCACAACATTTCTACAACTATTGAAAACCAAGCTTAAGTATCGAACAACTCAACAAAGTTACGTCAGAAAGTAAATTACATGATAATTTTATGACGTAACTTTATGACGTAATTTTGTTGAGTTTTTAGATACTTTAGAGTGTACTACAGTTTTAAGTATCGCTATTTTTGACTGTAGAACAGATTTCATTATCGAACAACTCAACAAAGTTACGTCAAAAACACCATACAAAATATTACTACAGTATTAATTAAAAACTACTACAATAAAACAAGTTCTGTCTGTAACTGTTTTGTTTTTTTAATTATTTTTTTTTTATTTTATTTGTTTCTTTATTCAGTTATTCAACCACATAACTACATATTTATAATTTTTAAAAATCAGGTTCTGTGTAACTCATATAGTTAACAACCAAAATTTGATTGAAACCTTAAAAAAAAAAAAAAAAAACTAAAAACAAATAAAAATTAATGGTAAAGATAGAAAAAAACAAATAAAAAGTAGTAAAGAATATTTAAAAAAAAAAAAACATGACTAATAACATAAAAAAGAATAAAAGTCGATGAGATAACTTAAGAAATAATGAATGAATGAGATAACCCAACATATCTCATTAAAGGTTGGATTATTAACAACCAAAAGGATAATAATAATAAAAAAAAAAGAAAACAAAAGAATATAATTAAATATTAAGTTGAGACAAAATATATATGTATAAATATAGCAACAACAATAAAAGTATATATTCTGTAAAAAAAAAAGATGTGATTATGTTCACAAATAGTATAAATACAAGTCCAAACACCTATTGAATAATAATAGTATTATTATTATAACACAATATTAAAGCAAAATAATCAAGTAAAATTTTAATAATAACTATAGTTTAAGATATAATAATAAAATAATAAAAATCACAGCAGTGGCGAGTTTAATAGAGGGGTAGGGGTATGGAGGTAGTAGTCCCCCTTCTTTTTTATTCAGAACATTCAATATTAATTTTATTTATATTTGTTATATTTTGAGACTAAATGGACACTGTCCATATAGTCAATCTATAGTCGATTTTGTAAAATAATTTAAAGCTATTACTTATAATGCGACAGTTTATTGAAAAATCCCATCATAAGAAATAACTTTAAATCATTTTACAAAATCTTTAAAAAGAAAAAAAATCACATTTCATTAGGATCATTTTTTAGATTGCAAAAAACGCATTATTAGTTTCCAAACCTTTGTTAAAAACGCATTATTGGTTTCCAAACTTTTGTTAAAAACGCATTATTAGTTTCCAAACCTTTGTTAAAACATATATGTTTATCAACTATAGTGAACATTAAGTTTCTATAATGAATCGCACCAAAAAATTATCTGGCGCTCAATTTAACAAGAAAAGAAAATAGCGCCTAGAAAGTGATGAGAAACTACAAATTTGTTTCAAGAAGTGGTTGGTAACTAACTCTGCAGAGGAAAAACAAATTATTTCAGAGGATATTAGTATTGAAGTTAATGAAAGTTCAACAGATAAAATTTTTTCAAACAGTTCAAATTAATGACTTAAGTTCAGATGTTAATTTGGATTTAATTGAAGACGAGATTTTCATTAGCCAAAGTCAAGAAGAATTTTGCACAAATAATTCAGAAACAACAAGAGAGTATGGAAATTCCCAGCTTTCTGACCGGGCTGAAATGGATCATAATGAACTTCATTCAGAAATATCAGATATTCCACTAACCTTGGGAAAAAACTTTCAATATAGGGATCCAGCAACATTGCCTAAACTAACGGAAAACATAAGATGTTTTTTGATTCAACATGGGCCAGAGCAAGAAAGAAGACAATTTTACCCATACACGCTGTGTGAATTTAACAACAGAAAGCGACACTTCAGCACAAAATGATATGAAAAAGTTCATCCCAACGATTAAAAATTTGTTCGACATTGGTTTGTTCAAGTTTTGTTTTTGTTATTTGTTATTTTAATAATTCACTAATGAAAACATTGACCATCTCATTATAGTAAAACAGTGACACAAGGTAGTCTGCCAAAAAATTAGCAATCACACTATTGCACAAACAAATAAAAGAAGTTCTTCATGTTTTGAAATCTATTATCCACAATCCCATCACAAATGATGTCACAATATGCAGTGCAAAAGATCTTATCATTCAAATTGATTTCAGTTTCTTGTGTTTGT